ACTGAACCGTGCTAATGAGGATGTACGCACACCCAGCTGGTGGTGGGCATGGGTGGGAGGGGCAGGGGAGGCTACTTACTAAGTGCTTGGTGGGGCAGGTCCCCTCTAGGGTCCCTGGAAGATGCTCCCTTGGGGCAGAGACCCCAGGAACCATGGTTTAGCTCAAGCTGTGTGTGGGAGCAGAAGAAACAGCCTGGCTGGGGATTCGGGACTCAGGGAGTAGGGGTGACACTGATGAGAAGAGGTGCATTCTCAGGCTTGGCCTGTTCGGGTGTCCCTGCTGCCCAGCCCTCTGAGCCTTTGCTCAGACCCTCCCCTCTACCAAGAATGCCCTCCCTGTGTCTACCCCATATCCCAAGGGCCAGTTCAGATGTCATCACCAGCAACGCTCCTGGACCACCTCTACCCTTACCCCTGACAGAAAAACCACTCCAGCCTCTTGGCTCCTAGCCCCTTTGGACCTCGCTCTGTGTAATTCTGACTCTACCAGATTGTACTGATCTGTTTGAAAAGACACTCAGCCTCTCTCATAAGAGCAATGCAAAGGAAAACCATGAGAAGAGATGGTTTTCTTCTATCAGATTGGCAAAGATAGAAAAGGTGGATAAAGGCAGTGCTAGCCCTCGCTGCCGGAGCAGGAGGGGCAGGTGCCACCTTAGTAACCGAGTGTGACCTCTTCAGAGGGTAATTTGACAATAGCTATGTAAATTCAAAATGTACCTGCCCTTTGACCTAGCCATTCACTTCCAAGCATTCATTGTCTGAGATACAAGTGCCCAAAGATAAAAGTACCAGAGTGCTCACTGCCTGGAAATGTCCTCCACATTGTCCATCAAGAGGGTGGTGAGAGTCACTCAGGCCACGTCACACAATAGGCATCCCCAACCCCCTGCCCGTGGAGTGAGATAAGCAGAGCACCCATCTCCAAGCTATTGCGGGGAGTCAATCAGTTAATATAAATAAAGTGCTTAGAGGAGCGTCCAGCACAGAGTAAGTATAAGTTCTTGCTATTATTATGGGTTTGCTGTTCTTGAAAAGCATTGGGTGGATCTCTACATATTGATATGTAATTATCTCCCAGAAATGCTGGTCAGTGAAAAATGCAGACAGAGGCCGCCAGTGGTGCAGGATGTGGATTGGGTTCTGGCTGGCTTTGTTTCTTGAGGAGATCTGCTTTTGAATGCATAGACCATCTCCAGGGAAGTGGACAGGGCTGACAGCAGTGGCTGTCTCTGGGGAGGGGCAGGAGACTGGGAGACAGGGGCGAGAGGAAGATTTGCACAGAGACTTCCACGCAGTTTGCAGTTTTTAACCACATGCCTGCACCATCTATTCAAACAAATAAATCACTCATGAAGACTGGTGATTCACCTGTCTGCATCTCCCACCAGACCATGAGCCCCCTGAGGGCAGACACTGTGTTGGAGCCACTGCAGAATTCCCAGCCTGGCACACAAAGGTACCTGGCAAATGTTGGCTGATGGGTGAGCTGGCTGGAATTCCATGTGGTCCCTCTGCTGGGACTCCCCCGCAAGGCATGATTCCCAGGAGATGCCCACAGATTAGGGATGGGGCATGCTGGAGCAGCCTGGGGAGCATTTGGCCTTAGTGGGAGGCAGACCTCAAAAGCTACTTCCTAGAGGATCATTCCTGGAAGCAGGACCCAGGTGTCCAGGTGCATCCAGGCCTCCAGGAGCCTAAGATAACAGCCTCGATCAAGGGCAGGACCCTCTCTCAGGCCACAGCGCAGGCCCCTCTGTATGCAGGAGGCTGATGTCCCCATCTATCTGCATGGCTGTACGAAGGACCAGGGAGGCATTACCGTGGCAACAGCCTTCACAGTGCCAAGGGACTAATTGTGTGGCTTTCACACTTCTGATGGGCTGAGTTCCAGGTCCCAGATCTGTGGTAATGCAGCCTACCAGGCCGGTGCCTGGGCTGAGGAGCAGAAATGATGCCCCTAGGCACAGGAAGGGACCTGCTGGGCCCACCTCTGCCATCAGCCCCGACTTCGAGCCACCCTCCCTTGTAGCCCTCGTCCTGTGCAGTGAACAGTGGCTGCTCCAGCTGGAACCCCAGGAGAGGAGGCCCGGCTGTGTCTCTCACCAGAGCCTTGTGGCGGAAGAGCCCCAAAGTGGGAAGAGCTTGACTGTCCACTATCCATGGGCAGTCAAGGAAAGGGATGGAGAGGTAAAACATGGCTTATCCCCGCAGGGAACACCCCCGAAGTGGAGAAATGAAGCAGCTTTACATGCACAAATGTGACTCTGTCTTCAAAACACATCACTGGTGTGTGTGTGGGGAGCGGTGGGGGGAAAGCTAGCCCAGCAAGATGCGGACAGTATCCCGCCACTTAACACACATACACACGATGCTGAACACTGTCTCTGAGTGCATAATATGAGGAGGAAATTTTTAAAATGTAAGTGGTCCAGAGGGATCTATAGCTCACAGCTTCAACATCACAGGGAGAGGAGAGGGGAATAGAATAGGGCAGTAAGGGGACCTTAGAGTCATCCATTTTTTAAGTAGACTGGGTTCCTATTTTTACCTGTGCTACCAAAATGATTTAAAGTTAATATAAAAAGTCATTGCTCTATCTTGCTGTCTCATCAAGGCTCCCTCTGACCACCCTCTTTAGTGCCGAGGCCTGACCTAGCCCCTACACTCCCAAGGCCCCTTGCTCACTCATATTTCCACAGCAGTGAGGCTCACTGTGCCTGGTCTTCTCCCTTCCTGGGGGGAGGGGGCAGTGGGGGATGGCTATACCAGCTTGTGTGTGAGGCCAATCTGGCCCACTGCCTGTTTTTACACAGCTCCAGAGCTATATATAAAAGAATGGTTTTATGTTTTTTAATTGTTGAAAATCAAAAGAGGGATAGTATTTTGTGACACATGGAAATTATATGAAATTCAAATTTCAGTGTCCAGATAATGTTATTTGAACATGGCCAAGCCCATTCGTTCGTCTTGTCAAGAGATGCTTTCTGCTATAAAGGCAGAGTTGAGTGGTTGTATGACCTGAAAGCCTAAAATATTTATTTGGCCCTTTGCAGACAAAGGTTGCCAACCCTGATCTGGACTGTAAGCACCACAAGGATGGGGGTCTCGTTTTGTTCCCTTATGTATCCCGAGTGCCCACCACAGCGTCTGGCACACAGTTAGGTGCTCAGTAAATCTGGCTGAATGAGCGAATGGACGTGTATGCGTTGGAGCATGTCGCTTCAACCTCCTAGAGAAAGTGACCCCCTTCCCAGCTCCATCTGGCAGACATCACTGCCTTCAGGGATGGGAAGGTGGGCTCAGGTCTCCCTGAGCACTGCACTGGGAGAGGCATCTGTGGGGCAGGCAGTGTCATTTGCTCTAAGTCCTCGGAGAATAAAGCAGAGGGTGGCAAGGTCTGGATTTGGTACCAACAGGGTGGGCCCCCAGGTCTCTGGAAGGTGGCATGTCTTTGCTTAGCCACGCGGACCTCCCTCCAACGACCCACAGCCCCTCTCTGCCCACAGCTGACTCTGCTGCCTGCGTGGGCTGCGCTTTGGTGCCCTCTGGTGGCCGCCAGGAGTGTCTCTTTCCAAGGCATGCGCCAGCCACCCTCTGGAAGTGAACCCTGGCCCCGGACTCCATAGCCCATCTGACCTCCTCGTCCAGAGATCCAAGGGCTCAATGGTCCGGCTCAATCTGTCCCTTCCAGTTCTTCCCCCGCCCTCCCCCCACGCACAAGGTAGCTTGATATCAGAAGATGCCCTCCTGCCAAGATGATAGGGGAGCTGCTGGCAGCCTCTCCTCTGGTTAGACTAGGTAGGCCCATGGCTCCTGAGGGTCTCCCAGGCTGCAAGACAATGCCCACCTCTGTCACCTCCAGTGTCCCTGACGGTGGGTGGGAGGGTGACCTTGGTCCCCATGTCCCAGGGATCCTAGTGTGATGGGCAGTAGGTAGCTTATAAGCTTCCTTGTGTTTTCTACACATCCGGAGAGGTCCCATCTGGGTAAGGGCTCCTCAGTCCAAGGAAAATAACTGCTCCAAGTTCTACTTTGGGGACAGAAGATTTGTCTCTCACCAGCATGAAACGCCACGTGCAGTGATCATCATGTGCTCGTCACCACATGCACATTGCACCACTACCTCTACCAGGAAACCATGGGCTCTGGGAGGGGAAGGGCAAGTCTGAGCTGCCTCAGCAACCCCAGCCTCCAGTCAGGGCCTGAGTGGATGGATGGATGGATGTCCTGCAGCAGAACTGAGCTTTGGAGAACTCTGGGTCCGCAGCCAAGCTCATGACCACTCCTTCCAGTCATGCCCATGCATCTCATCAGTCCTATTTCCAAATATATCCTGGTTCTACCACTTCCCTCTGTCCGTGCCCTCTGCCCCTCACTCACTTGCACCTCTCCAGCACCCCAGCCTCCCTTATGCCAAGCCTACCCAGCTTCAGGGCCTCTAGGGCAGCTGGTACCAAAACCTGAAACACTGTTCCCCTGGAGCTTCCCAGATATGGGACTTCTTCCACCACCCCAGCAAGGGGTCCCTTCTCACAGGCATTCCAACCATCACTGTCTAGCTCATCACTCTTATTTTCTTCATAGGTTATATTACTAACAAAAATGCTTATTTGCCTACTTGTGTCTCCCCCACGAGAATGCAGCATGAGGGCTGGGACTTTGCCCTTCTCTCTCCTCCACATCCCCGGCACCTGTGTGGAAGCTCAACTCATGCTTGGGGAACGATCCCTTGCTGTCCCTTACTGGTTCACACTTCAAGTATGCAGGTGTCACCCAAATGCATCAGAAAGGCAGGACGGGTCTGGTGCAGAACTCCGGCGAGAAGGCTCAGATCTGGGTGCCTCCTCCAGCTGTGTGGTGGGCAACTCGCTCCCCTCTCTGAGCCCAGTTTCTTCATCAGGAAAAGAGTCTCCACCTCACAAGGGGGTTGTGAGGTTTGAGGGAGAAAATGAAAAGTAAAAGCTTGTGAAATTAAAAATTTCAAGACGTGCACAATATTGTGAGCTCCATTTATTGTACTCCACTGGTACGTGTCAGGGACCCCAGGACACTGTCCAGCCTGTGTCTGGGAGCTACAATGCTGGTTGCATACCCCACACCCTCCCCTCCTGGCAGCAGCTCCCAGCACCCCTGAATGGCACAGCAGCCAGGACCCCAATGGGTGATTATCCCAGAGGGAACCGTAGTGACACAGGGGCCAAAGCTGGCTCCCTCCTCTTTTGTTGGGCTTGCAGCATTTTTTTTTCATTAGTTGTCAACACCTTAAAAATAGGAATATTTCACATAAAAGCCTGGATCTCTGGCTTCTCCAGATTTCTGACATTAGACCTGCATTCCCACTTTATAGCAATTAGCCACAACTAAATGACAACCACCAACTTCAGATGGGGACCTGTGCTTTGCCAGTCCCCACCACTCTATTGTACCTCAAGGTCAGCTGCCATTGTCAACTTGATGGTCCAAATATTTTTCATTATAAAGCAATGTCTCTCTGTGTAGTCTTCAGGAACAGTAGGAAAGTCAGTTGCACTGCAAAGACCTCACAAGTCAAAGGCCTACTTCATTCATTTATACAACCTTAAGAGCATCTGAGTAAGAGATCTGTGAACCAGCCCAAATCCCCCCTTTTATCCACAAAGGGCACCCTAGGGATGGGTGCGGCAGTCACTCTACACACACCCCTTCATGCAGCTAAGAGGCAGAGCTGAGAGCAGCAGACTTCACAAGTCTGAGCCAGTTGCTCCTTTCAAAGTTCTCAAATTCCCTGAACCCAAAGTACTGGTAAGCTGGGTGGACACACCAGGCACTTGGCTGTACCAGAGTGAGGTTGTGGACGAAGCAGCCAGACCCAGGCAAAGCTTGCTGGTGTGCCCTCTGGTGGCCATGAGGCAGCTCTGCAGGCCTCCATGAAGAGTTTTGATTTGATTCCAAGTGAGCCCGTGTCAACCACCATGGGTCCCAAAGCAGGCTCCCCCCAACCCCATGTGTGCCAAGTTTTCAACTTCCAACTACTTCCTTCCCCAAACATTCCTGATCTCCATTCCACCCCTCAGCCACTCTCCTGGGCACCCATCTCAGTCTCCAGTGTGGCTGGACTCCTCCTAGGCTGTGTGGCCTCTTCACGGCAGGGTCCAGCCTCCCCATTCTTCACATCCTGGTGCCTCACCCCAGGCTTAGCCCACGGCAGCCTCGCAGTGGTTGCAGGGAAAAACCCTACAGCAGTGGGGAGGCCAACCCCAACCTACAGGGTGAGCAGCACAGGCCAGGTGGGTCCCTCAGAGAACAGGAAGCACATGACCCAGGAGACGATGTCCCAAGAGCTGCTGTGGCCAGATGGCCAATCTTCACAAGAAGCTGGGGACCTGGACTTTTATGTGAAATACTCCAAGTTTTACAGGTTGTCTCAAATGTATATACTACCCAGGCCAAGAAAACACATTGGCGGATGGCTCCAGGCTGGGGCCCAAGATGGAGAGCTCTGCTGAGAACCTGCAGCTGACAGAACCTTCAAGATGCCGGGCGGAAGCCAGTGGTTTTCAAGGTTTTGTTTATTTGAGTAGTCTGTAGCCGTCATCATGTTTGATCCTGAGAGGCAAGCAAGGGAGAGAAAATTCTTGGACCCATTTTAGAGTCTGAGACATTGAGGCTGAAGTGGGCTCCTGGCAGGGTCAAGGTCACAGCTAGTGGAGAGAGCTCTGAGATACATGAGGCTGTGTCCCACGCAACAGCAGGCCCCAAGCCCACCCCACCTGGCCTGCCCCCTTAGCTGTGCCCGTCCTAGTCCCCTGGAGAGCCAACCACCCAACAACAGCTGAGATGGCGGCTCCCTGTGCACACCCACTGGCCACACCCACCCTCCGTGCACACAGCTACAGGACAGGCAGCCCGGGCAGAGCCATGCAGCTCTCTCCATGGGTGCACAGCCCAGAGGCACGCAAGCCCCATGTGGGGTTCAGGTCCAAGCAGAAACACCTCCTGCAGCCTTGCCCATCATGGGGAGAGTTGCGGGGGGGGGGGGTCCCTGGGTCAGCCAGGCGAGTGGCCATGGCCAGCGAGGCAGCCTCACCAGTTGGCCTTCACTGCCTTGATGTCACTCACGAGGTTCTGGGCCAGGCAGATACCAAAGATCTGTAACGGAGAGCAGGTGAGGGAGAGGCCACTGGCAGGGCAGGTTGTCCAGGGCAGAGTGAGGGCATGCAGGGCCACAGTGGTACCTGGAGGAGGGCGATGCCCACAAAGATCCCAGCCACGATGATCAGGTTGTCCTGCAGCCACTTTTCAAACTGGCCCACGCAGCCTTTGGTGTGGATGAAGCCCTGCTGCTCCAGCTCCTGGGGACAGATGGGCACCAGGCTCGGCTCAGCCCACCCACCACCACTGCAGGCCCCATCTCAGTCCAGCTTGCCAAGCTCAGCTCCGCCCAGGACCTTACACCTTAGTGCCTGCAGCCTGGAGCTCAACCACAGGGCCTTCTCCTCATCGGGGTCTCAGCACAGATGCCTTCTCCTCCGAGAGGCCTTCCCTGACTGCCCTGCCTCAATCCCATCACTTCTCTGATTTTATTTTCTTCCAAGTGCTTAGCTGAAATTGTCACATTATTGTTCGTATTTCTTTATCCATGTCTTACTGTTTTCTCCCTCTAGTGGAGTCCACTGCCTTGTGTTTGGCTGTACCAAGCCCCGCGTGCCTCCTAGGACTCAGCATCCCCTCCCCTGAATCCCTGAGGCCTTTTAGAGCCTAGAGGGGACCCCCCCCTTCCGATCCCAGTGCCCCCAGCTGCCCCCAGCCCTGTCCCCTCCCCTCTCACCAGTTTGAGCCGAACATCGTAGCCACACTGAGTGTTGAGGACATCTTCCTGAGAAGAAACAGGCCAGTGAGCAACTCAGTGGGGGGGGGGGCATCCATGGGGTCTCAGGGGAAGCAGATGGAACCGTGGATTCCGCTGCGTCCACCGCTCCTTAAGCTAGGCTGGCTGGGACCCGTGCACCTCTTTCCCTGATGCCAGGGCGCATGGCCACAACACCAGCTTGAACTGCTTCAGTTTTAGGAACCCTGACTGCTCGAGTTTTATAAGAATGGGAAGAAACCTGGCCCTCGTTGTCCCTGTGCACTGTGACTGGAGGGGTGTCACCGAGAGAAGCTTCTGCTCTAAAGAAAGCCATAAAAGGGTCAGAACCCCCAACCCTGCCACCCCAGCATGGTGGCCCAAGAGGAGCAGTCCCTATCCAACAGGCCTCAGCACTGCCCATGGACACAAACTCCCCAGCCCACAGGGCTACTCCTATGTAAGCTGACCTCCCCCGACATCCACATCCACAGCCCCCAGAGCAGGGTGGAGTCGAGCCAGCCCGGGGATGGGCTCTTCCCAGACTGCGCCTGCGAACTGCGAGGCCCACCCCTCCTCACCAGGCCCCACTCACCACAGGGTCCCTGACGCAGCAGGAGAAGGGCACCCCGCAGCGCTCCCGGCTCGGGTTCACGTCAGTGCAGTTGAAGTAGATATTGAGGTTCCAGTCGTTGGGCCCTCGGGCTCCGCAGCAAGACCACTAGCGGGTGGGAGAAGAACCCCAGGTGAGCCAGGCCCAGTCCAGGAGCCCCATCCTGTTTGGGGACAGGCCCAGGCTGCAGGAAGACAGGGCTGGGCTGGCCGGGAGGGGGCCTAGAGGCAGCCAGGCAGGCGGGTAGCTCCGCCACAGACAGGCCAGGCCTGGGCCCAGGGCCACCAGAGCAGCTTGAGGCTCCTGCCTGGGTTGGTGGGGGCTGGGTGGAGTAGGAAGGGGCTCCTGAGCTTGTCCCCTAGTCTAAGAGAGGATGAGAAAAGGAAGGGAGGGGGCAGGGATGGTGGCCCAAGGACTGTGGCTTCCTCCAGGCCACCTTGAGGGGTTCGAGTTTCAACAAACCCTGTGGGGAAAGGCACCACTGAACCCCACATCTGTGACCCGTCTCCCCACACTTGCCCCAGCGATTTTTACAGAAGACCTTCTCTCTTCCTCTCTGCCAGGACAGGAGGGCAATCCTGCCACCCTCACAATGATCCCATTCCACTTTACAGATGCTGCTGTCAGCACCTGTATCACCATTACCCCTACCCAGCACATCATGGGGCTGCAATGAAGCAGGGAGCTCATGATCTAGTGGGGAGACAGGAGCACACAGCCTTAACTCACTGACATGGCACAGGCTGCTAAAAAGCTGGCCCTCAAGGGACCAGCTCAAGGCTGGTCCTGAGAGGCCTTCTCCTCTCCCAAGGCTGCCCCCAAGAAGCCTTCGCCTTCTCCGGGCTTCCCCATTTCAGCCCTTACCACAGTTTATAATTCTACACACACATGCACACACACACACGTTTGTTTGTTTTGCTCTTTTATCATCTGTCTCTTCCCCCAGACTACCAACCCCACAAACACAGGTCCCAGCTTTTTTCACCTCTGAATCCCCCCCCCCAGCCCCTAGCCCAGAGCCTGGCACAGAATAGGTCCATAACAATTCTGTGTTGAATGAACAAATAAATCACATCCTAACCACCTGCCTCTCTGTTTACTTCTGCCCTGGGTTGAGAGCTCCTCAAAGCAGGCACCGGCTCTGGTTCACCTCTGGATCCCAGAGCAGTTCTTGGGGTGGATGGCACCAAAGGAGTATGACTCTGAGTGTGTGTGACTACGCGTGTGAGTGGGTGAGAATGTGCAGGCGGGAGGTGTCTAGGATTTTGTGAACTGTTCACTGACTGCTTCTTCACAGGGGTTAGGTTTGCAAGCTTGAGGGCAGAGCTTCTGGGGGGCAGGTCTCAAACTCGAATATGTTCAGAGGCCAAACGAATAATATAAATGAGGGAAGAGGGCCGACAGGTATAATAAAATAGAGTGGCGGGGACGGGGCAAACAGTCCCTCTACCAGCAAAGGGGGCAGTGGCAATGTAGCGCCAGCCCATACTGTGGGCCCAGTTTAGTAGAAGAAGAAATCTATATTTTTATGCCACGTTTCCTCCTTTAAGTGTTCTGTAAGCCCAGCCTAGGAGCTGCCAGTTTGGATCCTCTGGCCTCTGTTCCCCAATGCTGTGACCATGCAGGGCTAGGCACATGGAGATCACGAGGGGCTGGCTTCCTCTCAGACAGGGGCCCTCCTGGCTCACTTCCTTGGGGCCTGCCTGGCCTGGTGGGCGAGGGAACAGACCCAGCACACAGGGAGCTTGCTCCCTCATTCATCTGTCCAGCACGTGCCTCCTGCATGTGGTCAGAGCTGGATGCTGGACTTACGTATTCCTGAGCAAAGTCAATGAGGTTCTGGAGGTCAATGTCGTCCCGATAGGCCTTGACATTGTTGTTGATGAAGAGGTTGAGCTGGTCTCGAATCCAGTCCTTGAAGACGAAGGCCAGGATCCCTGTTGCCAACTCCAGGAAGAAAATGAGGCCAAGGAACACGGAGAACTGGGGTTGGGGGCACACAGACAGTGGGGGTCAGAGATACAGGGTCTGGGATTGCCACTGGGTGGGGCTCCAACCTCCTGCACCCTGACCCAAGACAGCCCAGAGTCCCCACCTTCTATCATGTTAGTATTGTTTTATGATGAAAAAAGATAGTGCTGTTCTTACCTACCCTGTTGTCTTTGAGAAACCACTCTCCACACACACATTCAGTTTCTGCTGCTACGCAGGAGCCACCTCCACCTCTTTTCCCATTCCCACTCCCACATAGAGGACTGGGCATGCGTCAAGATCCCACCAATCAGAGCATTACCTCCCCTGGGACCACAGGGATTGGTCCAGAGGCAGCCAATCAGGACTAAGGAGATGCAGTTGAAGTACTTGGGCAGAATGGTTGGGAAGGGAGAGCCTCACTCAGCCTCCATCAGGAGTTCCTGGGAGGGCAGCTTGAAGCCAGCACCCACCCATTCCTGGACATCTTTCCACCCCAAGAGGACTGGAGCCAACCCAGAGGGACAGAGCTGAGAAACAGAGCGACTAGGACAAGTGACACTGTGGTGGCTGCTGGATCCAAATGCGCTGGCAGTTAACACGCCCTTGGGCTTTCTTAGTGCCCCTTTTAGCTTAGGCCACTAGGTTTCGGCCCCGTACAACAGAAAGGATACTATAAACGTGGAGAATACAAATCTAGTGATTATTGTTACAATAACATAATAATAAAACTACCATTATTAAGCATGAACTATGCAAGAAGTGGGTGGGAGGAGGTTGGGGTCCCCAGTGGGAGGGCACTCACAAACTTGAGCAGGAAGGTGTTCTCCCGGAGGGCCCCAATGCAGCCGGCAAAGCCCAGCACCGACATGATGCCTCCTACCACTACAAAGAGCCACACAGGGTCAAGGCCTCCCAGATCTGTCAGCGCCGAGATGTTGGAGAGAACACCCTGTGAAGGGCGAGCAGAGGCAAATGGGGGGAGCTGGCCCTCCCACCATCTTGACCCAGAGCAGCCCCACACCCTACCCCACCGCCTTACCTTCTCACCCCAGGCCCAGAGACCAATGGCCAGGAACAGGGCTCCCAGCACCTGCAGAAGCAGCAGCAAAGAGCTGAGGGCTGGGGCACCAGCATCCTTCCCCACCCCCAGCAGAGCCCCCTCCCCACTACTGCTCAGGGTCTTCAGGAAGCCAGGGAGAAAGAGAGAAAGAGGGGAAAGGGCTGTAAATGGGATCCAGGGTCCTTTCTTCTTTTTTTTTTTTTAACATCTTTATTGGAGTATAATTGCTTTACAATGGTGTGTTAGTTTCTGCTTTATAACAAAGTGAATCAGGTATACATATACATATGTCCCCATATCTCTTCCCTCTTGTGTCTCCCTCCCACCATCTGTATCCCACCCCCTGTATCCCACCCCTCTAGGTGGTCACAAAGCACCGAGTTGATCTCCCTCTGCTATGCGGCTGCTTCCCACTAGCTATCTATTTTACGTTTGGTAGTGTATATATGTCCATGCCACTCTCTCACTTTGTCCCAGCTTACCCTTCCCTGTCCCCGTATCCTCAAGTCCATTCTCTAGTAGGTCTGCATCTTTATTCCCGTCTTGCCCCTAGGTTCTTCTGACCATTTTTTTTCTTTTCTTTTTTTTAGATTCCATATATAGGTGTTAGCATATGGTATTTGTTTTTTGCTTTTTGATTTACTTCACTCTGTATGACAGTCTCTAGGTCCATCCACCTCACTACAAATAACTCAGTTTTGTTCCTCTTTATGGCTGAGTAATATTCCGTTGTATATATGTGCCATATCTTCTTTATCCATTCATCTGTTGATGGACACTTAGGTTGCTTCCATGTCCTGGCTATTGTAAATAGAGCTGCAATGAACATTTTGGTACATGACTCTTTTTGAATTATGGTTTTCTCAGGGTATATGCCCAGTAGTGGAATTGCTGGGTCATATGGTAGTTCTATTTTTAATTTTTTAAGGAACCTCCATACTGTTCTCCATAGTGGCTATATCAATTTACATTCAGGGTCCTTTCAATCTTCCCAAGAATGCATCTCAGTGTTTCTTCCCACAGGACACAGCTTGGAAGACTGAACCGTCCCCAGCCCTAAGACGGACAAAGGCGGGCCCCTTCTTGGAACTCAGAATTGGAGCAGAGGATGGCCAAAACAGTCCCACCAAGTGGCAGCAGCTGTTTCCTGAGCCTCTGTTCTCACCCCAGGCCTATGTTAGGGTTCCAGGCTCCTGGCATCCTCTCTGCCCCCTCCCAAGTCTGGTCCTCCTGCTGCCCTGCAACTCTGTGACTTCCACCTCACTCCCGTCCCACCCTTTCAACCTCTGTCTGGCAGAGTACGTTTATAGTTCACAGCCAAAGACCCCTAAATGACAGGGAATCCCAATTCAGCCCCGTATCAGCAGAGTGGCACCAGCCTAGGCCTTCTAAACACCACCCACCATCCCACCTCATTTCCGTACTAGGAAGAGCCCTGGATATCGAGGGCAGCTGCCTGAACCTGGGCAGGACATCTAGTCTCAGAGGGAGAGTGCCCCTCTGGCCCAAGCCCAAGGCTGCGACCCCACTCCTTCAGACCTCCCTCTCCCACCTGCTTTCTCTACAGGCTCCTTCCCCTCAGCACAGAGCCTCAGTCAGCTCCACCCCTGACCTGCCACCTTTAGCACCTTCCCCTCTCCAACCCCAGGCTCCTCCCACTGCTGTACTCTTTTTCTAGAAATATTTTTCCTTCCCTCCCCCACACTGGATCTGGGATGTGAAACCAAACATCACTTCTCCTGCCTCATCCCACTTGACCCGCCGTGGCCTTTAGGTGAATGATCACTATTTTCTCTTTCCCAAACCTCTCCATGGTTAACGCAACGCCGTTCCTCCTCCTGCCCTTTCTCAGCCTCCCTCCTACAGTGCTCTGCTTCACCTGCGCCATGCACATGGCTACCCCCCTCCCCCACCAGGTTCCAACCTCAGCCTTCTAGTCTTCTTTTTCTCACACTCATCTTTCACCCCATCGTGACACTGGCATCTCCTGATCTCCACCCAAACCTCTCCCCGGCTCTAGAGCCCTTAGTCCACCTGCCTGCTGCAAACGCCTCCATGTCCCAGGATCCATTCCATGCACCAGAAATACATCAGGGAATAGGACACATGAGCTCTCAGCCCTCATGGAGTTTACACTCCAGTGGGGGAAATCCACAGTGAGCAAACAAGGTAATTTCAGATACCAACAGAGCCTTTAAAGAAAATCAAACAGGGTGATGAAATGGGGAGTTAATAGGGTAGTGGGGGCATGTTTCAGTTAGGGAGCATGGTGACATTTTAGCTGAGGTTTGAATGATGAAAAGGTGCACTGAAGAGAAGAGAATTCTAGGCGGAAGTACTGGCAAAGGCCCAGAGGTAAGATCATGTTTGGCAGTGCAAGGGACAAACTGAAGGGCAGCAAGGCCAGACACCACAGGGTGCTGTGGGCCACGGGGAGGAGTCTGGACTGTATTCTAGTGAGAAAAAACTGGAAGGTTCTGAGCAGGGTAACATAAGGGTCTGCTTTCCATTAAAATAAAAAAATCTCTGGGCCTGTTTCACAGGTACCTCCTTCAGGCCACCTTGACCCAAAACCAAACCCCCAAGTGGCCCAGTCCTGTCAGTTCAGCCTCATAACTTACCCTGGAGCCTTCCTCACCTTTCCCACCTGCCACCACCCCAACTTTGCCCCAGCCCTCCTCCCTGGTCTCCCTACCTCCAAACCCTGCCCCTCACTCACCCTCCCCATGTCAGCCAGGCAGATCTGCCTCCAAAACAGAAGCTAGAACATACCCATCACCCAGCACTGAAGCCTTGAGTGCTACCCTCTGCCCTCAACATAAAACTCAAACTCTCTGCCCCAGACTTGGGGCCTTTCACACTCGGGCTCCCCATCCTGGAGGACCCTGGAACAAGCCTGGGTCTCTCATGCCTCTCGCCCCTTGACATCTGGGGGGGTTCCCTCTGCTTAATGCTCTGCCTCACCTCCATCTACTGCCCACTGAGCTGTCACCTTGGCTCTGCACTTACTGGCTGTGTGACTCTGGGTTAAAAGATTTAACTTCTCTGTGCCTGTTCCTTCACCTGTAAAATGTAGATAATAAAGTAGCTGCAAGAATACAGTAAGTTATAATTCATTTAATCTGCCTAACAGTCCTGAGGGGCAGGCTTCATTATCACCCACTCGCTGCCAGGGAAGCTAAGGCCCAGAGAGAAGTGACTTGCCCACTGTCTCACAGCTAGGCCTGCTTCACCCAGAGCCTCAGACTTCCCTGACTAGTGCTCTCTGCACATGGCTCACACCCTCGAGGCTGGGCACTGCTGGGGCCAAAGGACACCCACATTGCATGAGCAGCATGTGGGTAAAGGGCAGTGCCACTGAGTCCTGATAAACAAAACTGAATGGGTCTGGCATTCTGACCCAAGACGTCAGAAGCAGAGACTGCAGAGGCAGCAAGTAGCCTTGGAGATATGGGATGAAGAGGGAGAAGGGAAAGATGACTTGGCAGGGCCCAGGGCTACAGATGCCACCCTGGAAGGGGCACCAGCAGCTCCCTTCTCCAGGCAGGGGCAGCCCTGCCCTGGAGCCTCGGTTTGGTCAGCTGTGGATGTTGAATTCTGTTCCCCAGGGCCAGCTCTCCTGGCCTCTCATCAGGAAACATCCCCTGTCCCCGGCCGAGAACTAGGGCGATTGGCCCTCCCTGCCCGCAAGCCTCTTTGGGGTGGGGGTGGGGCTTCGACCTTTGACCTACCCTCCCCCTTTGTAGGAGCTTAAGGCGAGGCAGCAGGCCCAGGTACTGGAGAGGTAAAGGGGCAGGAGACGGGATCCCGTCCTTCGAGGTGGCTCTCATCCCTACGGGTAAAACCAGGGGTGGGGCTCCGCGTATCCCTGACACCCCCGGGTAGCAAAGGGGCTGGGAGGGAGAGGGGGCGCCCGCACTAAGCGTGCCCATGGGGTCTTCACGGAAACACCTCCCATTTCTCGGCCGGGCCTCGGGAAGACCCCGGAAGAGTGTCCCCCCCCCCCCCCCGCCACTACCGCAGTGGCTGGGACCCGTCCCCTGCAATCCGGGCCTCTTCGTAGTTCCCCTGGGTGGTCCTGGGGGTGGGCGTGGAGGTGCGAATGGGAGGAAGGAGTGGGGGGACGGTCCCAAGCCCTTGTGGCAGAGAGTGTCTCCCCCTAGTAGGGGACTGAGCCTCCTTCTCCCGCCATCCCCAGCACAGGGCCCAGAACCCACCCCGCTCTCACCCAGAAGACGATGTTGAAGCCAAACAGGAAGTATTTCCCGCAGCAGCCGACCTCGGGTTCCTGGAAGTGCTGGTGCTTGCCGGTCATGGTGAGCGGCCGCCCGCCGGCCCGGGAACCGGAGCCGGGGGCTGGGCCCAGCCCTCCGCGGGCCGCCCGGGGCTGGAGCCGCCCGGGGCCTAGCCCGGCGGCTGCGGCTTCATGGCTGCGGCCACCCAGAGCGCCCGTCGGGCCCCGCCCGACCCCCAGGGTCCGCCCCGCAGGGACCGCCCTCGGCTCCCGGACCGCCCCCTGCTTGGTCCCCCTCAGAGCCCCACCTCTAGGCCTGACTCCGCCCCCTCCATAGGCTCCGCCCCCAGCCTTACTCCCCTTTGGAGCCCAGTCTCCCGACTGTCCCCTCCGGACCCCACCCCCATACAGGCCCCTCCCCACAGCCCGACTCAGCCCTCTCGGAGGCTAGCCTCTAGGCCTGACTCCTCCCTATGCGCTGGCCGCTGCAGCGTCCTTCAGACCAACCTGAGATGCTGAGGGCGCCGCAAGTCGCAGACACGAAAGACCCCTAGTTCCCCCCACACCGCAAAGCTCAGGACCAGCGCCACCCCAATCCCCGACCTTGCCGTCTGTTCCCATCCCTAGAGAGGAGTAACTACTGAGCTGGTGAGCGAGAGGAGGATGGTTATATGGATGGTGTTTAGCACACGTGCAGGACGTTTTATTACAGTGGAGTCCAATCAGAAGCGCTTTTTGGGTGCTGGGATGAATTGGGAGACTGGGATTGACATATAAACACTTGATACTATGTATAAAATAGATAACTAATGAGAACCTACTGTATAGCTCAGGGAACTCTACTCAATGCTCTGTGGTGACCTAAATGGGAAGGAAATACAAAAAAGAGGGATATTTGTATACCTATAGCTGATTCACTTTGCTGTACAGTAGAAACTAACACAACATTGTAAAGCAACTATACTCCAATAAAAATAAATTTTTTAAAAAAGCGCTCCTCACTGGATGGAAATTCTTTTTTTTTAAATTTTTTTATGGCTGCGTTGGGTCTTCGTTGCTGCGCGCGGGCTTTCTCTAGTTGCCGTGCGTGGGCTTCTCATCGGGCTGGCTTTTCTTGATGTGGAGCGGGCTTCAGTAGTTGTGGCTCACCAGCTCTAGAGTGCAGGCTCAGTAGTTGTAGCTCGCGGGCTTAGCTGCTCTGCGTGCATGTGGGATCTTCCCAGACCAGGGCTCGAACCCATGTCCCCTGCATTGGCAGGCAGATTCTTAACCACTGTGCCACCAGGGAAGCCCCAGAAATTCAGTTCTACCTCTACTCGTTCAAACTCAGAGTGGATGACACCTGGGTCTTGTGAGGGCCACTCCTGCTGCTCCCTGCCCCTTCAGTTTTGCCAGGGGCATATACTGCATCCCCTGGCTCAAGCCCCTTTGGCAGTTAAAGCCCCCCGCCCACCATCTAACCCCTCTCCCCCTACCAGCTTCCACCCTGATCAGGCTCCTTGGTACCTGGGGCGTCTCACATGAGCCCTCTCAAGGCAGGACTAGAGCAGATCAAGGTTTGGGGGGCCTGAATTTTACTCAATTTTAGAGTCCTCTTTAAAAATAATTCTGGTTTTGTTTAAAAGTATTTATTTAGGAAACAGAAAGGGGCTTAAGCTTCATCACCTTCCAGTTAATCATCGTCTAGCAGAACCAGAGTAAGGCCTGACCACCTCTCCTGGGCCAGGGCCTCATCAGTCGCCCCCGCCCCCGCTCCCACCCCTCTAGGGACCCACGCACAGCTGGCTGAGGGGAGGTGTGGGATACAGGGTAGGCTCCAAGGCTACAAATCTGATGAGAGGTAATCCATAAAAGTTTTTAAAGCAGAGTGATCAATCGCGAGAGCCCCCCACTCCTGTCCCTGAGCTCCAGCTCTGGGTCAGCGGCCTTGAGCCCCCTCCCCCAAAATGGAAGAGTCTGGCCCTCAGGCCACCTAGCCTCTTTCCCCGAGGTGGGGAGCACGGAGTAAGTCCTGGATCCTAGGATTCTCTCCTGTTATCTTTCCACCTGCAGTTGAGCCCTCCTCCCACCAATAACTCACCTCACCCCACTCTACCCAACCCAACCCTCAGGGTGAAACAAGCCCAGGCTTTCCTCCACCTTTCCGTTGCCCTGGTCCCTCACATTGGGTCCCCCACCAGAACTGCCCCTTGTCCTGGGCCCCAATTCACATTAAAGAGTGTTCGTATTCACTCCAGAATAGGTGAGAACCATGCCATCTGCCCCCAGCCCAGCCCCTTTTACACACACACACACACACAGCAGTGGGAGGCTCAGGGGCAGCCAAATGGGCAGTGGTGCCAGGGTCCCCTCACACCACAAATTTGTTCTTGGCTAGGGAGTTGCTCTTGGCAGCCGTGTCTGCGTGGGCCTGGTACCCAATGATGGTCTTTGTGGAGAGTCCCAGGCGCTCTTTGTAGACACGCCTGGGAGGTAAGTGGGAGAGGAAAGGAGACAGGCAGTCAGCAGCGGGTCCTGGAGATAACGTGGGACCCTGGGTCCTTTGCTCAGAGCTCCTACCCTGGTTCCAACCACAGTAACTCCTGTTGTATTTGTCTTACCCATGTGGAAACCCAAAATGTGCCTAGTGCAAAGGAGAAGAGGTCTGTTAAGAAACAGTTTGAAATTGAGATGCCACACCCTTTACACAAGGGGTGAAGAAAGAAGGGAGAGACAGCATGCAGAGTTCCAGAGGTCTCCCTTGCAGGCCAAACCATGCCCCTTCCACCACTTTCCCCTTCTCTCCTAGAAGAGACCCAGCCCCCACCCTGTGCCAGAGATACCCCTCACCCAATGCGCAGCACGCCCTCCTGGTTCTCTGTCTCCCTCGTCCATATGGCAATCTTGTCCCCCTTGGTTCGGATGTTGATGACGGCCCCACACACCTCCCGGCTGTGCTCCTCAAAGCTCTCCCCGATCAAACACAGCAGCTGGAGCCAAAAAAAAGGAGGAGGATGAGGCTTCCTGGTGGGCACAGAGTCTGCCCCCACCACCCTGAGACCACCGCTACACACCAGCCCAGCCCCTTCCCTTGGGAAGCCTCCCCGCCCAGTCCCCCACTCACCGTCTCCAGCCATAGGTGGTCCAGCTCACTGTGGCGCTGCTGCTTGGTGAGGCTGACCAGCCAGCGGCCACCCCGCCTATTCCTGCTGTCTTCCCACATGGGCTCAATGCCATCCTGGGAGGCAGGCTTGCAGATCAACCACCTCCCTTTGTTCAGAGGAAAGTGAGGGCCTGGCCACCTCCCCAGGTCCTGCTCTAGCCCCTCAGTAGGCCTCCACAGGCCAGGACCTTTCTGCCTTCATCCCTCCTGTACAAGCAGGTTCTACCAGCCATTCAGCCCCCCAGACCCTCCTGTGAGTTCCCATGGGCCCCTAAGCCTCAACATCTGTCACCTCACATAGCCTTGCGTGGGTGTGTGTTTATCTCCTGTACTGAACCAAGTTCCTTGATATGAGAGTTCAAATGGAGGTGATTAAGAAAGCATCTGGGGGAGGGGCTTCCCTGGTGGTGCAGTGGTTGAGAGTCCGCCTGCCGATGCAGCGGACATGGGTTCGTGCCCCGGTCTGGGAAGATCCCACATGCCGCGGAGCAGTTGGGCCCGTGAGCCATGGCTGCTGAGCCTGCGTGTGGGGAGCCTGTGCTCCGCAACGGGAGAGGCCACAACGGTGAGAGGCCCGCGTACCGCAAAAGAAAAAAAAAGAAAAAAAGAAAGCATCTGGGGCAACCCCAGTGCGGCCAAAGGCAGACATTCCAGGCTCAGCTGCTGGAAACAAGTCACCTAAGGAAAATCTTTAAATGCTGATGTGAGGGCCCCACTGCACAGCACCTCCAGGGACAGGCCTGGACATTGATGAGTGTCCTGGGGCAATTCTGATGCACCTCCCTAGTTAAGCAGCCAGGCCAGAAACCTAGACTCCTTCCTTGTTCCCCCTTCATTCCCCTCCCCTGTCCTTCAAGGTACAGCTCAGGTCTGACACTCTGTCCATGCTTCTGCCGAGCGGTCCTCTGATCTGAAATTATACTTGACTCTGAGGGAGGCTGTCCTCGGCACCCCACCCCCAAACGCCTGTGAGGGAGGAAGCTGGGAAGAATCAGCCCCCCTGTGCCCTGGGGACAGGGTGGGGGTGGGGAAGCAGGGCTTACCTTGAACAGGGTGTAGTCACAGCCGGAAGAGAGCTTACTGGCCAGCTGGATGTTATTGTACATCCTGGAGAGAGGCCCCCACCCCAGGCTGAAAGTCCAGGCTTTTTAGAGCCTGGTTCCAACTGGCCTCAGAACTCCTCAATCTCTTACCAGACCCCACTGCTTTCCACCCACCTTCCAGCCTCCAAGCCTTTGCTCATACCGGTGCCCCCTGCCAGGAATTCCATCCCCACTTGTCCAGACCTTCAAATCCTACCTTCTCACCCACTTCTAGGGTTTGTGAAGCACCTTTCAGATCTCCTCACTGGATCACCACAGACACTGAGACAGCCTTAAAACTCACTTTGTGGCTGAGACAAGCTCAGAGAGGGGCAGGAACTTGCCCAGGGTCACAAAGCATGGAGCAGCAGAGTCAGGGTCAACTCCTTGTTTCTCCCACTTCCCAGGCTCTCTCCCTGGGTCCCAAGGAGGCTTTGGGGGGGATGTGCCCCAGCCCAATCCCCCCGCCACCTCCTTGCAGAACCCACCAAGCCCCAGTCCTCAGCAGATGCTGCAAGGCCCCAGGGAAGACTGGGAAAGCTGTGTAGAAAGCAGCTCCCTGGAGGGGTGGGGTCTACGAAGGATCCCCAGCTCAGAAACCCATGGCCCCAGCCTCCTCCATGAGGGACAGACACTCACGCCCAGAAGTCCTCCACGGTGTCAAACTTGATGACCAGATGCAGGTTGTCCTGCCAGGCCCTGCTGCAGTCATTCTTGAAGAACCACAGAGCCCACCTAGAGGAGGGCGGGCCAGGAGGAAGCAGAGTGCACCCACCTGCCCTCCCCCAGCAGCAGCTAGGTTGGCAGGGAAGCCCTGTCCCTCCAAGGGCAAACAGGGAGATAGGATTTGGGGCACAGGC